TTCTCAGCTGGGAACGCAGGCTCTGTGCTGAGGTACTCCAACTTTTTATTAGCATATACGCACTGCACAAAATAATGGGTTTCATTACATTTTCATACACGTGTACAGTACTTTGATCACGTTCACCCTCCTTTACCTCTTTTTGTCTCTCCAAATCTTTTTAAGGAAACTAGAATACCAGAATTTGTTGTTGTTTTTTTAATTTTATTTTTATGGGTATGCGTGTATTGTCTGCATGTAGGTAAGTGCACCTATGTCATACAATGCCTGTGGAGGACAGAAGAGGTGGTCAGATCCCTGGAACTGGAGTTACAGACAATTGTTAGCTGCCATGTGGGTGCTGGGATTCAAACCCCGGTCTTCTGCAAGAACAACCAGCTTTCTTAACCGCTGAGCCATCTCTCTAGCCCCCAGACTTTTGTTTTATGTATAAAGCTCCTAATTTTAAAATTTTGAAACTGTAAATGTGAAAAAAAAAATAGAAATCAAACTATGTGTGAAACCCTGTCTGAACTAAATGAAGTAGGTTTCTGTCCATCTAGAAGGCCAAGGTGTTCATTCAGACTAGGGCTGATGCACCAGGACATAGAAGGCTCCTTTATTCAATTCTCCCCTTTCCCATCTTCCTAATTAACTAAGGAAGAGGAAGGTGTGACTAGGCTTTCATTTAGGGATACTCTGGGTCCATGGGGCTTAAGAGCAGAAATCTCCACCACTCTAGGGGCACACAAAAGGTTTACTTTTAATTAATTAAGTGCTGCCCCCAGCCCAAACATTCTTTTTTAGCTTGATGGGTTTTTTTTTTTTTCAAAATTAGTATATGAAGTAGTGGATTTCATCACATATATCTTTGTCTTCACTGAGCCTCATCCCCTCCTCCCCTCCCCTATCCTAGTACCCGTCTCTTGCTGGTGCCCTCCCTCCCTGCCAAGTAGCTTCCCTCTGCTTTCATGCCATGTATCTTCTATCAGTGTCCTAGTTTGTTCTTCATTGCTGTGACAAAATACTCTGACTACTACCAACTTGGGGAGGAAAAGGTTTATTGATCTTACATCTCCCAGGTCACAGTTCATCAGGGAGCCCAAGGCAGGAACTCAGGGCAGGAACCTGGAGGCAGGAGATGGAGCACCGGCCATGGAGGAACGCTGTTTACTGGCTTGCTCCCCTGGCCCCTGCTCAGCCTGCTTTCTTATGCAACACAGGCCCTCCTGCCCAGGGGTGGCACCACCCATAGTGGGCTGGGCCCTCCCACATCACTCATCAAGAAGATGCCCCTCAGACATGGCCACAGGCCAGTCCAGTAGAGGCAAAACCCTGATTGAGGCTCCCTCAACCCAGGTGTGTCAAGCTGACACTAAAGCCGTCCAGCACAATCAGCCCTTTTTCCCTTCCCACCAAGACCTCTTTTCCCTTTTCATGGACTCCTTTCTAGTTTCACGACCTATATGCCCCTGCCACATACTCATATATACAGATATATATATATATAAATTAAAGTCTGGGGGCCACATACGATTTTTTTTAAAAAGCATGCAGTACTTGTCTGAGTCTTTTTGCTTAATAATTTCCAGTTCCACCCATTTTTTACAAATATGATGATTTTTTTTTTTTTTTGTCTTTTTGAGACAGGGTCTCCCTGCAGCCCCAGCTGTCCTGGAACTCATTATGTAGACCAGGTTGGCCTTGAACTCACAGAGAGCTGCCTGCCTCTGTCTTCATTTTTTTTATGTCAGTCCAAAGATTCTTGACTACAAAGCTACCCAACATCAACACAGAGTATGTCAAGGCCACATGTCCTCAGATCAGCCTACAGAAAATAATACATAGGGAGTAAGGAAGCTTCTAGAAGGGAAAGCTGAGAAGAAAATTTTTCATTAGGAAAAGGCCTTTTTGAATCTCCAAGAGGAAATCAAGATAGAGCTCCCTGGGAGGGCAGGGGTGAAGTGCAAGCAAGTACTACTCAGCATGCTTAGGCCAGATGCATAACACCATGAGACCTGCTATCATAGACATCATATCATGTACATGTATGTGAACAAGTTTCAGTTGTAGTTCAAAAGTTACAGTTTCTGCAACTTGACAGTTTTTTACTAGCATTTTAGAAGCTTTGCTCTTTCTTTAAAACTTGATTTCTTTAAAAGATGAATGGAATAAGCACTTTCCGAGATTTTGGATAGTCCTTAAACATCCTGAGGTAGAACCTAAAAAGACAAGAAAAGAAGGAATAATTAAACAATGATATATGCAATGGTGCAGTAACCAACAGTGGAGTTTGCTAGTTATTTGGCACCTGGTTATTCCTGGTGGCCATCATCCATCCTTGCCTATACTCTGTCCCTGGTAAATGTTGACATTGCATATGCTGGGAAATAAAAATAATATGCAGAGCCTCATGGTAATGGCTGTACAATATTATGAATGTACTTAATGCCACTCAACTTTACACTTGAAATTGCTAAAATGGTAAATTTTAAGATATATCCAGATTTTTTAAAAACAGGCAGAAGAAAGTACCCATTAGACTCAGCTGGGAAATGCAGGGAGTCAGAGTCTCCCCAAAGCTTTGAGCAACTAGTGCAATAGTAGGAAATCAGTAATGGGGTAGTCACCTGCTTTTTGATGAGATCTGAGGCCCACACTACAAAAGCCTGTGACTAGGGGAGGTCATAGGCCCTACTGGGGAAGTTACTGCTACTGTTTTACTAAATGGACACGTTGTGTCCATCATACTGCTGTCTAAATAATTATTTTTATACCTTTAGATTAGTACTACACCAGCTTTGTCAGAGAAGCTCCTTTTTGTGGGGAGCACAAGTAACTGCAGAGACTCATAATTGGTCAAAGTGCTAAAAATAAGGAACTACTGAATGCTCAGCTGTAAAAGAGACTTCTGTATCACCCTATCCCAGGGAACATCACAGAAGATGTAGCTGAAAGAATTTAAGAGCCAGAGAAAGGAGTAGAATGAGATGGAAATCTGTCTTCAGAATATGACATCATCACCATTGCACTCTTGATCCCACAGCAGTTGAGATTACCCACACAAGACTTGTACAAGATTGCGCCTGTCGACTTCCAGTCATGGCAAGGAGAAGGGGCCATAGTGGCCCCCTGTCTCAGGAGCTATACGCAGATAATCATAGTTAGTGGGGAGGACCTCTCAGAGCCTGACGGTTCCCTGAGAATCTGTAGGCAATTAATAATCACTGGTGGAGAAAGAGATTCTCTGCAGTGGTGTGGCCACTGATAAGCAGTCCGTGTTCCTTTAAATAATTCCTCGTCCAGGACCCTGTAAGCAACCCTAATGAAACTCACTGGGTCATGAAAAATAATTAATTCATAAATAAATAAATAATAAATAAATAAATAAATAAATAAATAAATAAATAAGGCTGGGGAGATGGCTCAGTAATTAAGAGCACTTGCTCTTCTTCCAGAGGATCTGAGTTCAGTTCCCAGCACCTCTGTTGGACAGTTCACAACTGCCTGTGACTCCAGATCCAATAGATAAGTTCTCCTCTGACCTTCATAGGCATTTGCTCTCACATGCACATTTGCACACAGAGGTACATATGCACATACACTTAAGTAAAATAAAAATAAACCTTTAAAAATACAGAGCTGGAGAGATGGCCTAGCAATGAAGAGCACTAGGTACTCTTACAGAGACCCAGGTTTTGGTTTCTAGAACCAACGTGGCAGCTAACAACCATCCATAACTCTAGTTCCAGGGAATCTGATGCCCTCTCCTGGCTCTTTCATGGGCATTGTGTACACAGGTACACTTACATACACGCAGGCACAACATTTATATATATAAAATAAAATAAAATAATTAGAAAGTTTTTTAAAATAAAAATAAAAACAAATCTTTAAAATAAATAAAAATAAAGACACGCAAGAGTTGGGGGGGACAGGAGAGAGTAATAGATAAATATGATAAAAACACATGTATGTTAATTCAACTGTGAACCTAAAAATTTACAGCCACTTTTGAAAGAGATGTATCCTTGCTCTGGAGTGTGTTACTGAATATGTTAAAGTGTAATGAAATGCTTCTTCTAATCATGTGGTTATTAAATTTTTTTTAAATTTAAAAAATAGTAATTCTTCAAAGCATAAAAAATTGCCCCTTAATAATTAGTAGATGTGAAAAGCATTACCACTGAAATCTACCTGATGACTTTATATCCATGCTCAGATGCCAAGGCACTCAGAAAGTAACCTACTGTGACTAGTAATAATCAGACATATAGAGATTGGAAACACATGTGCAAACATCTTAGTGTTGATTGCATTAAAAATGAACTTTTCTGGGGCTGGGGGAGGCGGCTCGGCTCTGACTGCTCTTGCAGAGGACCCAAGCTCAATTCCCAATATCAACACATTGGCTACAAACCATCCTTAACTCCAGTTCCAGGGGAATCCAAAGCCCTCTTCTGACCTCCGTGGCATTGCACGACACGCGTGCACTCACATATATGCAGGCAATACACTCATACACATAAAATAAAAATAAAAT